TGGTTACCTTCTGGAATTATGGTGCGGGAGGGAGTTGCTGTCCAGTGGATTCTATTAATTCAATATTTTAGTTTAGTTTAGTATAGGGTTTTACGGCGCTCGCAACTGCATAGGTCATATGAGCGCGCGGGACACACCTAATATTTTTCAGTTGGTAGGAAATTTGGAATTTTGCCCGGGTGGCGGCCGAAGCCTACTCTTGTCGATTTTAGACCACCAAGGGATCTTTAACGTGCGCAACTTGCACACGGGCCCTCCGAGATTTTTCGCCCTTGTCCGAGAAGGCTAGGTGTAGATCTTTCCTACCAGAAGATCAGGGGTGTGGCAGAAAGACAGCAGTTAGGAGGAGCCAAGGAGTAGCAGTAGAAAGGCTGCAGAAAGAGCCAGGAGCCCAGAGGAGGGGGCAAAGGAGGTGAGGGGGTGGGGGCAGAAAGTGGAAATGAAAGCAGACAACAGAACATTGCTAGAGATCAGGAAAGGATGGGAAAGGAGACCATTTTAGAGAAGAAAATTTTTTGGTCGCTACCCGGAATCGAACCCGGGACCTTTGAATGAGAGGCCTTAACCTCTAGGCCACGAGAGCCCCCATAAAATATTTAATACAAAGGATACCTGTGCGTGTGTGCTTTGTATGTGTGCGGGTTTGTATTGTTTTATTTTGTATATTTAAATGGAATATATTGTTTAGTATAAAATGCCCACTGACATCGGAATTTCAGCTATCGACCCGCAGTAAACGATACATTTCCAAAAAAGCAAGAACAGAAAGATATAGAAATTTATTCGTACCAACTGCATTGAGGTTACTAAACACACAGTGCAACAAATGAAACAGAGAGAGACAGAGAGAGAGCGTGAGAGAGAGAGAGAGCGAGAGAGAGAGAGAGAGAGAGAGAGAGAGAGAAAGAGATTGAGAGAGAAGGAGAGAGAGAGAAAGAGAGAGAGAGAGAGAGAGAGAGAGAGAGAGAGAGAGGGGGGGGGGGAGAGAGAGAATGTTTTACGGAGTGGGTTGTCATGTACTTTGTATTTACTAATGTCATGTCTTGTTGTGAGTGTAGGCGTGAGTGCACCTAACCTTTGTAACGTCTACTGCCATTGTT